GACATGATAATGAAAAATAATGAACTACTGCTACACCAGTAACATGGATGCATGTCCCAGACAGAATGCTGAAGGACAAAAAGCCTAACTCAAGTGAATACAAATGACATGATTTCATTTCTGTGATGTTTAAGAGCAGGTAAAACTAACCTGTGGTGATAGAAGTCAAGATGGTGGTTACCTTTGGGGTGTGATGGGGTAATAACTGGGAAAATGAATTTTTTTTCTGTCTTGGTGCAGGTGGTGGTTATGAGAACGTACACATGTGAAAAAAATCATTTAGCTGTACACTTCTTTGTGCCCTTTACTTTGTGCCACCCGTGTTACACGTCATCAGAAAGCGGAACTCATTTTCAGAGTTATTCTTCTGGGGTCCCTGGGCGGAGGGTTTTGTTTTTTTTGCTTAGTCTTCGTTGCTTTTGTCAGTTCTCGCATGTATTCCTGTCTTTGCACCTCACCATATGTGCTTTTAACAAGGTACAGGGAGTGGCTTGCTCTGCGAGACTCACAACTTTTTTGGTGTTGGTTTTTTTCCCCCCATTTCGGTTAAGTATTCAGTGAAGATAAAAGTTAAATAGGTAACTTTTTAATCATTTAAAAGATCCTCACACGACAGTTGGTACTCAGCAGCTACTGCCCAGAGTCCCATCTCTTCCTGAGATGTGCTGTGTGTTATCCTCCCTGTAGTATTCCATCCTGCAGAGGCAGCGTTCAGACCCTGGGGAAGGAGACAGGCAGGTCCAAGTGCTTCAGAAATCTAGAGTATGTGGGTCACTTTCTATGCCTTTGAACACCTTGGGCAGTCTAGCAAAGCCTGGAGACCCCTTCTCAGAATATTTTAAGTGCATAAAATAAAATACATAGGATTATAAAGGAAAATAGTTGTGTCAAAATAGTTATCAAAATGATTTGTGATACAGTAATACGTATGCTTTTTAATAGATTAAATAATAAATCTAGCAGCAGTTCTCGTAACTGCCATAATTTTGAAAGGTGAAGAATTGAAACAGTATTTTGAGATATTTGCAGTCACTATAATGAGTTCTGAAATATCTAGTTTTTGTGTGTGACATGGTTAGCAGGACTGTTCATTCTACTGTAGTTTTTTGCATACATTCATAATTGAACACTAAATGTTAGTTAGAAGTTAGGGAAAACAAAGATGTATTTGTTTTGCTCCGTTCAAGTTCATGCCCCTCTGCTCTGCCCTGGATTCTTTTAGAACAGCTATAGAGCATTGTTTCTCAAAGTTGTGTTCATCAAAATCACCTGGATGCTTGTAAAATGCAGATTCTGTTGCCCCGCCCTCAGAGATCTGAGGAGAACGTCTCCTAGGCCCAAGAGTGCACATTTTAACAAATTTGTGAAGCACTGAGCTAAGCCCTAGCACTGCTATGTGAAAGAAACCTCTCTGAGCCATGCAAATCTTGGAGGCTTCAGAGGTTTAAATATCCTGGTGACGTGAGAGTTTCTTTTTCAGGCTCTGCTGGATCTTTCTAAGTTCCAGGGCTTTGGGACCATGACACCAACCCTTGTGGAATCTGACTGGCTGAGACCAGCCTCCTTGGCTCGACCCCTCTGTGTCTGATCAGCCAATACCTGAGGCTGGCTGGGGGATCCTAGGTCATGCCATAGCTGCCTGCTGCCCTGTGGCACAATAGGGAGTACTGCTAGTGGTTCAGAGTTATAAAGTGAATAGCCATTGATAATGAATCGTGCAGAAATCCTACAAGGAACAAAATCCAATGATATGTTCCTTTTGAGTCACACCGAAAGGTCAAAACTAAGAGGCAACATCTTGAACAGGTAATCAAAATTAACATCACCAAAGAGGAGCAGATGGGTCTTTTGAAATACGATAAGCTGGGAAGGACAAGCCTCATTCATGTGGTATTCCAACCAGTTCTGCATACCCTGGATCTGATCCTGGGGAAACGTCGGACAAACCCAAATGAGAAATGCTTTATTTAAAAAATGAGAGCGAGTGGATGCTGCATTTTTTCAAAAACGTCAATGTCATAAAGACAAAGAGTCTGTGGAAATGCTCCAGATTAAGGGAGTCTAAAGAAACATAACAATGAAACGATCCTATACTGACAGGGGGCAACGCTTTAAATAACATCCAGTCGATTGACAAAACTGGAATACAGGTGGTAAAGTTTTTGTATCAATGTTAAGTTTACAGAAGTTGATAAAGCTCTATTGTGGTTATGTAAGAATGTATCCCTACTTTGGAGAAATACACACTAAGTATTTAAGGACAAAGGGCTATTATTTATGCATGTGAGTCATAAATGGTTCAGAAGAATATTGAATGTGTATTTGGGGGTGGTGAGCAAATGACCAGATGGGGTGAAATGGTAAGTAGGTGAATCTGGTAAAGGGTAAACAGATGCTCTTTGCACAGGTCATATTCTTGCAGCTTTTATGTAAGTTTAAAATTATTTCCAAATAAAGATTGATATATGTGTAGTAATAGCTAGTTTTTAAAAATCCAGGAAAATCCAATAAAAGCACAATAATACTCCAACTTTAACCTACATTTTTACTCCATAATAGGTTAAAAAGGCAGGACATAAAAAAGGACACAGAAGATGATGTAATGGTTAAGATATAAAAAGAAAAAAACCTTGAAATTGGAAGTGGTTTCAGTTCTAGCTCCAATACTTATTATCTCTGCAACCTTAGGCAACATACTTAAACTCCCTAAGTCTCATGTCTTCATCTGAAAGTAGGGGGATAAAATAGAATCTGTCTCATAAAGTTGGAGGTGGTGGTTCTGGAGATAATGCATATAAAGTGCTTAGCCTAACATTTGACATTTAGAGCACTCTCAGTGAATGTCAGTATTTCCAGAGCAGTGACAAAGACAGAAAGCTTCGTAATTCGTTTTATAAGGTAACATAACCCTGAAAGCATGACACAAATACATACAGAAGGGAAGCCTGTGGATCCATCTCACAGACAAATATGATATATAAATCATTTTTTAAAGTTCAGAAATATTGAAAATAATAATATACTATGACCTAGTAGGGTACCTTCCAGAAATCTAAGCACCATCCAACATCAGAAGAGCTATTACTGTATATTAATTCATTACATTACATGATTATTCTCCCCCATTTAACCTATTTTCTCAATAGTTGGCCCCCCAAAAGAGCTTTTGATAAAATTCAATATTTATTCCTGAGAAAAGCCTCTTTGTAAACTCAGAATTGAAGGAAACATCTTCAACAGGATAAAGAAACTGACCACAAACATCTAGTAAATTGCTAGAGGCATGTCCAAATCAGAGTGTGTTCCAGTAGTCTGCCTTGTATAGAACACAGCACGATGGAGATGGCAACAGAGCTGCCATGGAGTGACATCGGTCGTCCAGGAAGACTCGTATCTAACAGAGTCTCAGCCCAGGCCGTGCACAGTTCAGGTATTTACTGTAAACGTATTTAATGCCTTACAAGGGTTGGGAATGACAGTGTGTTCAGTAATTAGAACTGACTTAATCAATAAACTGTTTGGGGAAAGTTGATCCTTACCTCACAGCATACATCAAACTAAATGCTAGAAGAAGAGAAAAATGTAAAAATGAAACCATAGAACATCTAGAGGAATATAGAAGTAAATAGTTTCATTAATACTGGGATAGAAAAGGCTTTTTATATGATGATACTAAAGGCAGAAGTGCATAAAGGGAAAAATATGAAAAATTTGCTTCCATAAACATTTAAAATATCTATGTGGCCAAATATACCACAAACCAAGTTCAAAAGCAAAAATCTAATTAGAAGAAATTATTTGCAATCTATTTCAAACATTTCATAAATTATTAAGAAAAAGAATACAGTGATGGAAAACTGACACAGGACATAAATAGGTAACCCACAAAGGAAGAATTATAGAAGAATAAAAATATGAAGAAAATGTTCGATCCAAATGATGCACAAAGAAACACAATTAAAAACAACATTGAGATTACATTTTTGCCATTAAATTGCGAAGAGGAAATGTCATAGGTATAGGAAAGATGGCAGCCTCAGTCATCACTGGTAGAACTATACCACCTTCCTAGATGTCAGGTTGGCATTGTGTCGCAGATCCTTGATAACGTGCATATCCTTTAACAAAGCTATTCAAATTCTAAGAATTCATCCTAAAGAAATAATTGGACAAGTAAGTATGGGAATGTGGAATTAGAAGATGTTCATCATAACTTTATTTACAGTAACAAAAAATTGGAAGCAGCCTAATTGTCCAGCAGTACTAAATAGTTATATTATGCCTATATAATAAAATAATGCAGAGCCATCAAAATTAACATTGTAGAAGTGTATTTATTAACATGGTAAAATATTATTAAGTGAAAATACAAGCCAAAAAGCTGTATATTCAATGTGACTCCACTATATTAAGAAAAATACGCATATACACACACACACACACACACACACACACACACACAGGAAGAAACTTGGAAAAAACAATACCAAAACATTAATAGTGATTATCTTTGGTTATAGTATTCAGATTATTCATTATGTTCATCAGTGTTTTCGACATTAGTTGGGTAATTTTTATGATAAATTTTTAAAATTCTACGAAATGTACGAACTTGAGTAAGATGCTGCAGAGATGTATTCTAGGTGAACTGTGCCTGTAATTGGGGTAACAAAGAGAAGAGGGCACCTCTAGGGGGCATCAACTCCCAAATATTGCAGAAGCTTCAGACCAGAAAGGAGAGGTACTTTATACTCATGTTAGAAATAGCTGAACTCACTAGTTCACTGGTTCTTTTTCCTTCAGCCCAGAGATCTCCAGGATGCTTCCCTGATGTGACTTTAGACTGGGTGTCTTTTCTAATGAAAGCACATGGCTACGGCCCTTGGATGTACATTTTATCAGTGATTTTTCCGGTTCTTTAGCCTCTGGTTGATTGCCAGCTTCATGTTTACTTTCTAAATAAACCTCTTAATGCCACAACTTTGTTCCATTACAGAATGCAACTGCTCTGCCAGGTACTTGGAGAAGAACAGACGTGCACTTAGAGAACCCAGAATATCACACCAGATGGTATTTCAAGTATTTTTTAGGACAAGGTAATTATGCCATTATGGTAGCTGGGAAGAAAGGATATTCAAAATGAAACTTAGTGTAATTTCAGGTGCCCTGTGTAAGTGAAACTAACCAATTTAGGGACACTAACATCAGGGCATTTCACTTCAAGGTCAGTAGTAAGCTTTGTAGATTAAAAGAATCAATTCAGAGTCTCAGCTCTAAGAGTTTTGCTCATAATTTTTTGGGGGGAGGACCCAGTTATTTTTGTCCCTGAGGAGTGAAAAGGGGATTAACTAACCTGAATGAGTGATTTGGGAGATAAAAAGAATTTTTCAGGATGGGTAAACTTCTTTAGACTTAATCAGGCAAGTGCCCTGTCTGTAGTGGGTTTTGAACAGAATTGGTTCTCTGAGGTCAAGGGCCAGTATAGAATCAGAGAGGCATTAGACTGTAGGCTCTGGCATCATTCATATGTTCATCAGTGACAAGGATTTGTTTATCACCTACTACATGCCAGGTGATATGCACAGCGGCAAAGGCAGTCATGATCCCTGCTCTCATGGATCCTCTAGAATGCGTTTGAATCCTGTTCCTGCCATTAGTAATCACAGGACCTTACGCTAGTTACTGTCCACTTCTCTGAGACGCAGTTTCCCTTCCTTTCTGTAAAGTAAAAGTATCACCAGCACCTTTCTAGTAAGTTTTTGTTTTTTTTTTTCAGTTTTTTTTTGGAGACAGAGTCTTACTCTGTTGCCTGGGCTAGAGTGCTGTGGCATCAGCCTAGCTCACAGCAACCTCAAACTCCTAGGCTTAAGCGATCCTCTTGCCTCAGCTTCCCAAGTAGCTGGGACTACAGGTGTGTGTCACCACACCCGGCTAATTTTTTTTATTTTTAGTAGAGATGGGGGCTCGCTCTTGGTCAGGCTGGTCTCGAACTCCTGAGATCAAGCGATCCTCCCGCCTTGGCCTCCCAGAGTGCTAGGATTACAGGCATGAGCCACCACGCCTGGCCTCTTCCTAGCAGGTTTAAACAGGAGTTTCAGTGAGATATGCAGGAATAACACTAACCCTGGCACATACCAAGAGCTGTCATTAATAGCTATGTACATTTAAAGTGGAGGGCTCAAGTGAAAACGTACAGGAATATAGCTAATGACAAAAGATTTGGGGAATGGAAGAATAATCTCTGTTGTGGGATTTGAAATGAGTTAGAGAATATGCTTCTTAGACTAATGCATTTGTTTGTAGATGTGATGCTTGAGCTATATGACATGAGTGTAAGCAGACCTAAATGATATCTTTTAGGAAATCTGATTCTGTATTATTCTAAGAGGTTCATTTATTTGGCTAGGCATAATTTATTGGGAGGGTATAGAAGGATGTATAAAGAAAGAAATCAGCAGGAAAGTCATCTTCCCAGTGCTTGCAAGCATAGTGCCCAGAGCAGTGAGGACTTTAAAGATAAAAGTGAGCCATGAGTTTGGATGCCTTCAGCTGCAAGTAACAAAACTCGACTCAAACTGGTATAAACAATAAGGGATGTAACAAGAAACCCAGAGGCCTGGCACGCTCCAGGGTTGGTGAATTCAGAGGCTGGGTAATGTCCAGGACCCAGGCCCTTTCCCTTTTTCTCCTTCCCCGTCTTTAGTGTGGCAGCGTGGCCCTTGGCCCTTCTCAGGGTCGCAAGATGGTCACAGCAACTCCAGGCATCACTTCTAGACACCACCATGTCCAAAGGAAGAAGAAGGCCATATTTAGGAGTGAGGAAGCCTTTGGCAGATTTTTCTTCCTGCTGATTGGCTAGAATTGGGTCACATGTTCATTCCTGAACCAGTCAGTGGCAAGAGGAAAGGAAGTGCATGATAAGCAGAGTAATCGGGTTCCATCGCAAGCTAGCCTTGGGTTTATTGTTCCCTGACCGTGTGGGGAGGGCTGGACACCACCTGCATTGTCATAGTAGGTGCTACACTACTATCTGTGACTGGTAGGACCAGTTGCATTCTTGCTCTTCTAAACCTGTGTCTCTTCCAGTCCATCAGAATTACATTGGGAACGATGCAGAGAAGAGCCCCTTCTTCTTGTCCGTGACCCTTTCTGATCAAAATAATCAGCGTGTCCCTCAATACCGTGCAATTCTTTGGAGGAAAACAGTAAGTATCAGCTTGCATTTGAAGCAAAGTTTATGCAGCAGTTTTAGGAGGTAACTCCTGTGTTGGGGAACTGTGTGCCAGTCTTCTCAAGTGCACATGCCTTCATCCAAAGCCCCTAATCTTCCAAACCAGGCAGGCTGTGTTCTGGCTTTTTTTTTTCTTTCTTTCTTCCTCACTTATTTATTCTATGTTTGCTAATTACAGCATTCTGGTCTCTTCTGGGTAAAACATTCTCTATGGGATGAATCTGTCTCTTTTGGGCAAATCATCGGTCTTTCTAATTTCTTGCCCCTCCTCCCGCTCCTCTTGTAGCTGGTCATTTGGTGACCTGGGAGAGGGCTTATGAGACTTTGTGATGGCCGAAGGATACAGAAGACCTTGGATCCACATGGGCCTTCTGAATTCTTTCTGGCTTCTGGGTGGCTTTTCTGGTCTCTGAACTAGCAACGACTGAGGTATAACTGGTCCCTCTGGCTCTTTCGGATCATGGGAAAGCACCTGCCCCTAAAATTCATGTTCCCAGCCATTAGCCTCTTGTGAGTCACTCTTTGACTGGATCCCAGGTCTCTGCTAGTCTCTGAACCTCCTAGAAGCTTTATATGCCCTCCTGGGGCACACCCCCTGCAAGCCATGGGCAGATGTGCGGAGGTGGGACCTCCTACTTAGGCTCATGTCTGTAATCTTTCTGGTCATCAATGCTTGTAGCTGCTGACTTACTGCCACTCACTGTGTTCAGACAGGTGCTACACGGACTTCAGATTCCTGTGAAAGGCCATGCTTGGGAAATGGGGCTCTGGTACAGATGTTCTTAGATGCTTCCAGGTCTCACCTGGGTATATTTGCAGCACCCCCCACCCCTTCAAGTCCTGTCCTCGGCATGGGGGAATCTAAGGCCCTAGTGTCCGCTCCTCAGCCTTCCTGTCCCCGTATTCCTTCCTTCCTTCCTTCCTCCCTCCCTCCCTCCCTCCCTTCCTCCCTTCCTCTGTTTCTTCCTTCCTTCCTTCCAGCAAGGCAGGAAGGATAAGTCTCCCACTTCTTCCACCTTTCTGGAATGGGTTTTCTCAATGTCACAGCTTCTTCCTTCAGGAAATATCAGTCACCCACCTCCTCACCTGAGATGGCTGCCAGGTACCAGGGGAGACAGAGCAGGACAAACGCAGGGGGAAATTTTTGCTTATTTTAATTTCCAAAGATATTATCTGTATCACATTACAAATTGTGATAAGCACTCTGAAGAAACAAAGAGGATGACAGAGACTGATGCAGGAGACCTGCTTAATGAGATAGTTCAGGGAAAGCTCCCTGAGGGTGCACCCTGCAAATAGAGACCTGAAGGATGAAGGGAGCCGGCCACTGCGGAGGCAGAGAAGGGGAAGCCGGAGTATTCCAGACAGAGGGAGCAGCAAGCACAAGACTGTCGAGGGGTGCCATGCGGGCTGCTCTCACCTGGTATTAGAGAAGCCAAGGGGCAGGGATTTGAGGCCCAGGACCACTGTGACAGTAACATGGGGCCAGGCGTGGTGAGCAGTGGTCCCCTTCTATTGAGAAGTGCTGGCACCTTCACGCAGAACCTCTTATCTAGGCCCCAAGTGACATGCCTAGGTCAGCGTACAGGTTTGCTTCCAGCTGCAGATAGAAGTGCTGAAGGGAGGGAGGAACTGAGAAATCTATGCGGAACATTGGCATAAAGGGTCGGTTATCAAGCCACTCTTGGCCCAAAACCAGTGCTAGAGGTGTGCGACTCAGCCCTCTCCCACCCCACCACATGCTCACGTTCTGTTAGGTTATAAAGCAGTTAGAAGACTAGCTAAACACATGCATATGCTCTGTATACATGCAAGACTGTGTAGAGAGGTATGCCTGCCATACGCAGCTTTGCATATCTCTGCAGTGTTCCTCTAAACACAAAATGCTCACAAAAAGAAAGTATGAAAAATGATCCGTACTTATTCTAAAAATGCTATCCAAACAATACAGCAAGAGAAAGAATCCAACTACTCAGAGATAATCACTGCAACGGAATTCTAAACATCTGTCTGTGTATACACATGCACGCACGCACTGTACATACGCAGGGCAGTGCTCGCCATGCACTTCTGCATCCTCACAGTGCTCACTCAGTGTGCATTTAACTCGGCCTATGCATTGATGGTCCCCAGAACCATCTTACTTGAATATCAACTGGAAAGCTACTCAAGGGAGGAGATGGGGAGGAAGAGCTTTACTTACCAGTTTGCAGTGAAGAGAAACACAAACCCATAATCCCCGGGTTTTGCACCCACGTAGGCAGTTCATGAAGATGTTACTATTCCCAGCAGAGGGCCAGAGCCCACCCCCATGCCACACGTGCCCCCAGACTGCCCTTGCCTTCTCTTTAAAACTGCCATTGGTGCGTGGAGTGAGAAAAAAAGGTAGACAAGGTAGGAGCTGAGGGAGAGGGGCAGTTCAAGACCCTCTCGTCGGCAAGCCGGTGTCCCGTCTGGGGGATGCAGCATGGGGTAGGCTGGGGCCAGTAAAAAAGCGAAGCCCCAGAGGAACTCAGGTCTCATCAGGTGGGATCTGTGGAATTTGAAAATGTGTATTTCTATCATAATATTCCTCTATATTTATAAAAATTTTTAAACCTCTGTAACATAAACTACAAAAAGAAAAGCTCAGTCTCATTTCCTTGGCTCATAGAGAATCTATAGACAGGCTCTGTCTAGCACAACTTCTGATGCTCAGCTGCAAAGACATCCTCCTCCCTGGCCTGGAGGGGGTGAGAGTATCAAGTCTGTAGGGGTGTGGGTAAGGAAGTTGGGTTTATGAAAAGAAACTGTGGTCTTGAAGAAATTGAGGAAGTCCACTCCCATACCATTGTTCAGGACTTGGACAGATGAATTGACAGGTGTGTCCTGAAAACACGGCAAACGTCTTATTTATTCTTTGCCCATTTCCTGCAAGAAATATCCTTACCCTCCTCTAACTGTGAGGCCAATTTTATCTTTAGTCAAAGTTAGGAAGAAAGTTTTAAATACGCACTATGGGATAATCCCTTTTGCTGACCATGTAGTGTGAATCCTTTGTGGATTATAAATCTGTGTCATCTCTTCTTAGATGATTAGGAAGAGAACAGCACCCGTCTGTTCTGGGTGGTTGGACTTGGGGCTGAATCATTCAGGCGATTCTTTATTCATTCCCTTGTCAGCCAGCAAGTATTTATTGAGTACTTTCTATGAGTTAGTCACAGTGGGTACTCGTTTAGAGACTTTCAGTAACAGAATACAGACAAATATAAAAGTACACATTGTTAACACCCCTCTGAAGGATTTAAGTGATTTCTAGTTCAAAAAGTCTTCAGCTTGGAGACATTGTATTTGGGTTCCATTGAACGTGTGGAGACTGTTTTCTTCTTATGATCTTTGAGGCTTATCCGATTCTTGGCTCAGAGAACAAATCCCCTCTCATCTGGTTGAGGTGGCACATCTGCTCTCCACAGCGCCTAACACACTGAGGACCTGCCTGTGGAAGGGTTGTGCTTGAATCACACTTGTTGGCTGGGAGATAATGTGGAATGTGTTTATTCATATACATTCCCCTTGAGGAAAAATGAGGAAGCCTGGAGACTGGACACGGTTTCTTTCAAATGGCCAGGGAGGCGCTTTCAGAGGTGAAGCTGCTGAGCTTCTCACTGATTTGGTGTTTTGACTTTTCTAGGGTACTCAGAAAATATGCCTTCCCTACAGTCCCACAAAAACGCTTTCTGTGAAGTCCATCTTAAGGTGAGTACTGATGACAGAAACCCCACACCAGGATTGGGAGCCCTTTACAAATTGTTTTTTCCTATGGTCATTCTGACGTTAGCTTTCCATTTTCTTGAGCCTTGACTGTGTGCCGGACGCTTTGCTAAGCACTTGACATGCATTGCCTTGTGTAATCGTCACAGCAGCCGTAAGGCAGGTGCTGTGGCCGTCCCCATTTTATAAATGAGGAAACGGAAGTTCTGAGAGGGAAGGCCAAGATCACACAGCCAGTGTGTGGCGCAACTGAGGCCCAAGTCCTGCTTCTTTTTTCTTGCATGCACTCAGATACTTTAGTTTTATAAAGAAAATCAAGAAATGTTCTTCCTTTCATTTTTCTACTTTGAAATAGAAACCCAGATGTCAGCAAAGCCTTCTCTGAGAAGAATGTGCTTATTCTTTGCCAAACAGAGAGTTAAATGAATGGAACATCTGGCTGCTCCCTGCTCAGCTGCCTCTCCTGCCCTCACCTTCCCACCTCCCTCTCATCTCTCTCCCATGCTTGGGCAGGAGCCTCCCCTGGGTGATGCCACCACTCGGATCCAGACTGTTGCTTTGTCACCAGCTAAGACGTTACATCATAGAAACAGGAACTTCTGCGTGTCAGGCACTGTGCTAAATGCTTTACAAGCGTTCTCTGAGTAAATCTTTAAGCCAGCTCCACGCATGGATATGTTATTATCTCCATGACACTTATCAGGAATTGGAGCCTCAGAGAAGGGAAGGGATCTGACAGAGATCTCACAGCTGGTAATCTGCGGGGCTGGGATTTAAACCTAGGTCCGTGTGACTCCATCGCTTGGGCATTAACCATTAATGCCACACTGTGGGAAGGACAAATCTTATCCCAGTGCTCTGGCAATTTCCTCTCTATTTGTCTGCAACTAGGTTGTGGTAGGAGAGATGTTTTCGGTATCCCCAGGTAATACATGAGAGCTACCACGCATCCTTACCAAGATGGCTCTTAGAGTGAAAAAATTGACTCTATCAATTGGGGATGGCATCTGGCTGATTAAAAGACATCAAGACTGGAAGTAAAAAATTTTATATCTCATTTTCAAGCTTACTTTGATCTCCAAATTGCAGACCTTCATCCTGTCTGCTCTAGGCCTTCTGATTTTTCTCCTGAGCAATTCTGCAGCCTGAGTTAAGGAAGTATCCACCAAGAGGTCAGCATTTTTGCTGAGCACAGAAATATCTTACTTCTTCTAAGGAGCTATAAATCTTAACTTGCTTGGAGAGTAAGAGTCCGAATTATGCTAGCTTAAGATTTCTGTGAATCTTTTTTTTTTCCCTTAAAACAAGTTATTCCAGCTCCTTCCTTCTTTCTGTTTAAAAAGTAAGCATTTCACTTAGTTATAATTTTATTTAGTTACTTAGCTTTTCAGTACACCACTTATAGCCAGAGCAAGGTACATACAGGAAGATTTTAAAGGTGTGGAAGAGTTGCTGCCAATAGAAGGAAAGATTTTGTCTTCTTCGGTTACAAGAATGAACTTGAAAACTTAAAAGGAAATTAAAATACAAATACTATGGAGTCAGTCGAGCCGAGGTCCAAGTCCTGGCTCTGCTCTTTCTCAGCTCTGTTATCCTGTTCTTCACCTTCTGACCTTCAATTTCCTCATCTTTAAAATGGGGATAAAACAGTACTTGCCTCATAGGGACTAAATGGGATAACACATGGAAAGCATTTACCAGGGTGCCTGGAGTATTGTGACTACTCTATAAATTATCTGTTACTATTTTTACCTTTCACTTGTAAATATTGGAATCCCAACTGAAAGGGACCTTGGAGATCACCTAGTTCAACCTCCTTGCTTTACTTCTGGAGGCACTTGTGTTCAAGGGAATTAACATTACCTGTCCAAAGTAAAACATAATAAAATAGCCTTGTTAGGGATGGTCTTTTGCCTATGTAGCAAAGACGTGTCAGTTAATCTTAATTACATTTCCTCATTTTTCTAGTAAATAAAAATAATCTGGAAGAGTAATCAAGGTTGCCTGAAACTGATGCTCCTGACTCCTCCCTCCCTCTCTACTGCAAGAGTGTCAGTAGGGGACAGTTATATAAGTAAAGGACAGTGTGGTGTTTGGTTATTTCCACATATTCATCCAGTGATCACTCGTTTGTTGGTTTGTATCTTCTCAGTGCCAGAACCTTCAGGGAATCCA